TGCAAAGTTCCCCTGAAGGCAAAAGCCTTAGTGCTTATTCGACGGGTAGGTGAGGATCCCGATAAGTTGTGAAGGCATTCTTAAAGCCAGCCCGAAGAAAATAATATGAAAGGATAGGCTCGGAGGTACCTGTTTGAACCAGCGTATTTTTTTTCTTGGAGCCTTGGAGGGAAAAGTGGAAAATGTTGTGCAAATTGGAAAAAGAGATAGTGGGTAGGGAAAACTAAGGAGTATACTAAATAGGAATATGGTAGGTAGCTTGGGAAAACCAAGTAATATGGTAGAGAAGGGGGAGGTCATGTTAGAGGGGTGATTTTGAGAGAGGATCACGTGTGTGAAAAATTTTCCCAAACGCTAGGACGTGTCCTGGTTGAGAATGGGCCAAGGGCGTTGAACAGAAGAGTATGAGATGGTGATGTTGCCTAAGGGACTGAGAGAAGAAATGGAAAGATAAGAGGCCACATATAAGACCTGGTTTCCAGTTGCACTCAGAAGCGGCAGACGAAGTATTCAGGGGAGAAATCGACCCACTTTACCCAAATTCCAGGTATTCAGCTTCCCCATCCAGCCTGGTATAATAGGCACTGAAGAGTTTTATGGTGAGTTAAACGATACCTTGTCAGTGAAAAGCGCTAGCGAGAAACATTTGTTCAAATATCGGCGAACACAGCCGCGTGTAATGTCAACTGAAAGCTTCGTTGAATCGTCGGCGAGTTGTTCGCCGTCCACGTCCGCCAATCCGCTCGCCCACCCATTCGTGGCTGCCGCCACCCTGGCAGGGGGTTTGCCAGTGCTGTAGCCAATTGTGTGTGTATCTGTGTGGTATTCATGAATTCACTGCCTATCACGGTGGCATTTCAACCCACTGTCGACTGTTTGGTACTTGTTCAGGACGAAGAGACCGCACTACATTGTGCGGCAGCACGTGGACATCTCGAATGTGTGCAGACACTACTCGATGCTGGCTCGTCCGTCGACGATTACGACAACGTAAGTTGATCGCTGTTAGGAACTTTCCCGAAAAGTATTTTGAAAGAAAAAAGTCAGTCTCTTTGCACCTTCCTCATCCGTAGTTTCTCCCTGTGAGCCTTGAAGCGCTCCAGTGTCGTCAAATACCGTATCGAGGACAAATTTACTTCCAATCATGGGCTGGAGGGGGCTTTTTGGAAGTAGGCTGATCTGGGATAAAAAATTCGCTTATCGCTCGTCAATGTCCTAGCGCTGCTGAATAAAAGTCAACTATCCTGCCGCATTATTCCATTTATTGACCTTCATTGATCATTCAAACTACAGCTTTTGAGCAGGAGAGGGGAAAGAGAAAGTCGATATATCGATTGATACCGTAGAGTCTGCCGAAATTCCTCGACCAGATGGCATCAAGAATAAAAAAAATCTGTTTGTAAACATAAGCTGACGTAACTGATACTGTCTGAAATTTAAATTGGATCGAGGTCTTCTTTCTTTGCTCCCGGTTGTTAATTTGAATTTATCACCCTTTAAATGGCACCGATCAATTCACTAACAAAATCAGCTCGACATGGATGGGTTGACCCCCCCCCTGAAGGAAACGCTCGTCGCCCTGATTCCATCTATGGCTCATTATTATTTGTATTTATGTATTAATTATATGCTGAATACGCGGAATGCTAAAAAGGCTAGTTATCGATTGATTCTTTGGAAATAGAATGGCTTTCACTGGGAACTCTAGGCTCGAACTTTTCTCTGAGGGTGGGCATTACCAGTTCATTTTGCTGATATATCTGCGACTTTCCGTCTTCCTCTCTACGAATTCACAACTGTCAGGAAAGAGTGGTCCTGAACAGCCTTCCAAGTTTTCTCTCATCTCAGTAGATGCATTGAAATCACTTTTTTTCGATATACGTGCGTTTTTTTGGCACATATGATTTGTTTTATCGATTTGCTTACTGGTTATGAAGAGCCTTTGTTAACTCTTCGTCTTATTGAAGTGAAGCAGGTGAAGAAAGCCCTGCAAGGACATCCTGCAGGCTCAATTCGTTCCCGATTTATCGCTGATTTTCAGCATCATCGAACGCCGTTGCTATGCGCCCTGGAAAATGGCCATTTGGATATCGCTCTGCTACTCATCCATAAGGGCAGCAAGATTAATGAGCCGGACGACGTGAGTATCAGCTTCTGCACTTCATAAATTCCGGGTTACATTTGTGGTTTCCGCCTGGCTCCACTGAATTGCCAGTGGTACCGGGCTGAGTCATCCAGCTGCTCAGGGCAAGCCTTTAAAAAAGCAGAAAAACGGGGTTGAAACCACGTTTCCATGTCAACCTTGTTTCCCACTAGTCCATGATGCATTTGAAGGTGTTACGGAGGGCCATAGTGAGTTTAAGTCACCAACTAGTTTAACTATGAGGAGTAAAGCCGATGTCAGGAGAACAACCAATTTGGTGACAACGCTAACCAACTTTGTGGTAAAGTAGGGAGCCGGTGGGTTTGCTTGCGTTCTGGGGCGCTACTGCTATCACAACTGAAGCCTCAATTAGCAGTTCCGCAAATTTCCCGAAAAACAAGGGCAAGTGCTGCCCCCTACTGACCCTAATTTCGTGCTAGAGTGCAGGACTACCAACTACCTCCTGCAGCGTTATGAAATTGGAATACCGTAGCCACTCATACGCTTCTGCGGGCAATTATGTAAATGGTGTCGCACCTAGCGACTCAATATGAAAGCTATTAATAATGGCCTAAAAAGGAACTGTTTATGATGCTGGGCCAGCATTTTTACGCAGTCGCTTAGCTCTGGGGTAAATGTTGAGAAATTTATAGATTCCTTTTTTCGAACACTTCTCTTCTTGCGCTTTTCGATTCCTTTTTCCTAGTGCCAGCTCACATAATTCAATTGGAACTAGTTTATGCAATGTAGAAACTGAACTAGTCCCCATATGGGACAACTCGTCAAATTGCGGGCTGCTTTCGAATTATGACACACCACTCCAGTCAAATATGAGCCTCTGTTTTTCGGTCCAAGCAAACATCTAGTTGGCAGAAGGGCGGAACCTCCGACTGCGCGACCGACCGACGAGAGAACAGACCATTCTGCGACTGCGCAGATTCAGATATTTCGATAACGTAAGCTGCTTGGACTCAGTATCGTCCACCGTGGTCCAGGTATTTAGCTGGAAGTCCCACATCACTTACGACGATCACCTTGCCCTTTGGCGCACCTCTAAAATTTTTCGTTTCGATTTTTGCGGACTTGGGCCAGCTTCTATGACTGCCAGACCGCACCACTTTGCACTTGTCGAGCGCAGTCTGGCCGACGAAGGGGCGAGCGGCGGGGCGGAAGAGGAAGGCATTTTGCACTTTCGCTTTTATTGCACTTAGTTTCGGCTGTACAAAATCGCACTTTGGCACCTGCTGAACTCTTGCCGAATCATGGTTGCGAACAAGCTCTTATATAAACTATGGGTAGAAAACTGTAAACTCTTCGTGAGCCTCACAAAATAGCTCTCTAGATGCGTGTACACGTCGACCCGAGAAGTAGAAAAGTGCATAATGGCCCTTCCCCTCGTCTGCCGAGCTGCCCCCACGTTGTTATCTTATCGAGCGTATAGTGGTTGGAACTTGGCTCTAGTGACAGAGGGTCTTACTGAGTTAAGCTTTTCCCACACATCATGATGATTCCCTATTTGAAAGGGTGGGTAACTATATTAGTGAATGTAACCCTGAGCTTACTTTGTCTCAGTGGCGACTATAAAGATAGACTGGAGGCTGGGATAGAAAAATGGAACTAGCTGTACAGTAATCGAGGGCTTCAAACCAGTTCACAAACTAGAAAGTAGGTAGACAAAAAAAACCCACAACGGCACTGTATAATGTCGCTTATCCTTTCTTGTGATGCGCCATGCATTTGAACAGCTAATCGAAGTGGTTTTGAATCGGTTTTTGGGCTACATAGAGACTTGCAAAGTTAGTCGTCGTAGAAGTGAGTATTATTGTACACCTAGACACGATTCAAGCAAACGTAGGGACCTGGGAAGATTCGATCCGCGGACTGTATGAGTGGCGATGGGGTTATTTGCCCCAGCTCCACCTCCCTAATATTAAGTTAAAAATGCACGGTGTGTAGCACCTATCAAGCCTGTTCGTATCGGATTTCCATTTCAGCGTGCGAACACTCCGTTACATGTGGCCGCTCGGCTCGGTTTACTTACTGCCGTTCAAACACTCTGCCATTGTGGAGCCGATGTCGATCTGGCAAACCAGGTGAGCAAACCACTGAACATCATTTACGCCATTCTGCAGAACGAATGCAATGATTGGAATCGCATGAAACAGTCCGTCCAGTGATCGATTTTTCAAAACGAAAAGCCACGACACCGTAAGGCCATGTCCATACCTAGCACCCACCTAGAACCAGCAGATATTCCTAGTCGATAGGGATCGAATCCCATGAACCTCTGGTTTCCCCATACTTTCTTTGGATGGTAAGCAACCAACAACAGGGTCTAAAAGGAAAATCGAAGGCCGCTTTGAAAACTGGGAAGCATTTTCTCGGCTCTGTGATATCGTTTTATTTTAGCCCTGTTTCAGGACTCCCTGACTCCGCTCCATCTAGCCGCTCGAGAGGGATTCCTCGACATTGTAAGGGTACTTTGTCTGGCTAAATCGAATGTTGCCAGAAAAACCAAGGTGAGCTATTTTGGAATCTCAAGAGAATCGGCTCTTTGTGAAAAACAGCCATCAATTCTTCCCTATCTGTTAGTGAAAGCTCTTTCAGAAAAGAGTTGAACCTTATATTGGAGGGTCTATTCGTAGAAGAAAGCTTTCATA